GAAACAAAGAAATAAAATCATACAACAAATACATAATACACAATAGTTCAAAGGTTAATACACCTCCATGCTTTGAAACAAGGAAATAAAATCATACCACAAATACATAATACACAATAGTTCAAAGGTTAATACTCCTCCATACTTTGAAACAATGAAATAAAATCATACCACAAATACATAATACACAATAGTTCAAAAGGTTAATACACCTCCATGCTTTGAAACAAGGAAAAAAATCATACAACAAATACATAATACACAATAGTTCAAAAGGTTAATACACCTCCATGCTTTGAAACAATGAAATAAAATCATACCACAAATACATAATACACAATAGTTCAAAGGTTAATACACCTCCATGCTTTGAAACAAAGAAATAAAATCATACAACAAATACATAATACACAATAGTTCAAAGGTTAATACACCTCCATGCTTTGAAACAAAGAAATAAAATCATACCAAAAAAAAAAAGAAATTAAATTATCTGCTGAAGCTTGTTTATTAACCAAATCAAAACTAAGAATGACATAAGTTAGACTTATAAGTTAAACATAGACTTATGTTAGTAGGGTAATTACCAAGATGTGATTAGTGCTGATTTAGGGTAACAAAAAAACCTAACAGAAGTAGCTACCTAGATCCCAAATGTAGGAATTGTTGACTGTAACACCTAGAGCACCTTGAAACTCAAGAATAGCATATGCAACGGCCAGTTTATTTCCCCCTTCGGGAGACCAAGACAAATAAGTAGCAGTTCTTTGAGCTGATTCTGGATCTCTGAAAATTAAAAAATGACTGAATAAAATATTATGTTCATTAAAAATCTTTGCTACATATAATAGAAGAGGCTTTTCAATTTTAGAATATATGCTTTATTTGAATAAATGGATAAAATTCAGTATCTTATATAGTTTTCATTGAGATTAATCCTGACAACATTAAACCGTATGCTACCATAATTTATGAGTTATGTGTATTCAAACCATCACCAGAACTGACTTATCGTTTGTTTTTATTCTTATACTGGTTATTCTTCTCCATATTCTTCAGAAAAGTTGGGATTAGAAGTATA